CTAAAGGTTTGATACTTTCAACTCTACGTCCTCTTGTCATAGAAGCGCAGCCTGCCTGGGGAAAGCCACTGACTACTTTTCTGTTCCAGAATGGTTATTAGCATGTGAAGTACAAATACAGACCATTTTTGTCCCAATGTATTCAATACATTTTTCTGTTAGAGGCTCTAGTTCTTTTCTTGCTTCCAGTTTTATAGGATACTGTTTCTGTCTTAGCAGTGTGATGTTTGGTTTTAGAAGAATAGTTACTGCTGCTGCATCTCGTGATGGTCCTGGTGCTCTGGCAGCCCATATTTGCAGATACACCCGCTTCCTCTGGGATATCCGGCTCAGTACCTGGTTTCTGTAACATAAAAACTCGGGCCTCCACAGCCTTTTCATCAGGAACATGTACCTGAATTTTCTTTCTTTAACCCTAATTGCTGCATGTAATTTACTCAGTGTGCTGTTATCCAACAGCAGCACAGGGCACTCAGGCATGCAAAGGAATTTATGGGTCAACATCTGTTTGCCAGTTTCTCAAATGTAAAGGAAGGCCGGGTTCCTGTCCGCCTGTGGCACCAGTGCCTGAAGCTGTTTGTTTGCTTAATTGCCCTTTACAAGTATTTATAACAGAATAAGTAGTTTCTGTTTCTACAAGAACTTTTACCTTCTCATTCCCCAACCTAACTGTAGCCAGGGGCTCTGCTGGGCTGGGATTCAAATCTTCCCCCGCTCCTCCTCACTCTTCCTCTAAAGTAATAATTCTCTCTGCCTGTCCTGACGTTCCACTAAATCTCTGGTGTTTATTTTGATTCTGAGGGCATTTTCCCTTTGAGTGCAACCTGTGGAGTCTGTTCACAAACCTTTCCATGTAATCCTTGTTTCCTCCCCTCCCTTTCTTGGGGGATAGCTACAGGCAGCAATTTTTCTCTCTCTTCTTTCCCCTAAAGATTCCAGTTTTACTCTGGAGCTTATCTTATGCTCCCGCATATATATTAACAGATTCCTAGTTGAAACCTGACACACTATAACCCACAAAACGCAATATTGTATTATATTAATAATTATATTAATTCTATCAATAATATATATATTAATAATCAGGGACTGAAAGCCCTCCCCAGTACCATTGAACCATTTGAACCATTGCAGAGAACTTGCACCAGAGCAATACTGGTCCGATTGTGATAAGTCTCCAAAGCCACATCCATTATTTTTACCAAATCACATTGGTCCTCCCCCTTAAGCTTTTGTACCTTTTTCCTTATGTTTTCCATGGATTGACTTTTTGTTAACTGGCCTAACTCTTTCCTTCCTTCCTCTGATTCGGGATCAATATTAGTATATTTAGACATCACCTCTTTTAATCTTCCCATGAATCCAGCAGTTGATTCATTTACATCTCGCTTTATTTCATATAGCTTAGACCAGCTCACTGCCTTGGGGACCGCATTCCTAGTACTGACTAAAATCTACCTCCGATATTGTTTCAAAGCTTGCCTGTCCCAGTTAGGATTGGGGTTAGGAATGTGAAGATTCACTGTACCTATCGCTGTGCCTGCTGTTATTTGTTGCTCTGCTGCGGTCCGAGCTGTGCGAATAATCGTATTTCTGTCAACACTCTCGAAAGCATGATGTGTAATTACCAGCCACTTGTTTCCAACTCTTCATATCTACAATGGTAAAGGGAATCTTCATCATGAGCAGACCATCATTACACACAGCTTGTCTTAAAGGTGCAATCACAGTTTCCCCTCATTTTCCCCTAGTTTGCCTTGCTGTAAGGCAAAATCCTTCAGCCCGACCCCCCTATATCTCAGGTGCCTGTGCTGGTGCTTGTGCTTGATCCTCATTGTCAGCACCTTCAGCCCCATTATTCACAATACCCCTTCTCCAGGGGCCTACCATCAAATCCAAATCCTCCTCCACATTCCTCAGATGTTTAGTGCATAACTGCCCTGTGGTGCACAAAGACCAATAGCATTTAAGCAAATTTTACTGTCTTTCTCCAAGGACAATACTGACAGGTCCTGGAGCGCAAAATGAAAACTGCAATCCTTTTGCTGTTCCAGATGATATCTCAAAGTAGAAAACATTTCTGCATAAGCTACTTCATCCCACTTTCCTTCTCGTCTCAAGAATAACATGTGACAGGATTTTACCAGAGTCTCCTGAGTAACCGAACCCCTCGGGGGTCCACCGCTTTGTTCCGGTCTCCCGAGTGACTGAACTACGCAGGGGTTCACCGATTTGTTTGCAGTGTTGTGAAATGCAACCCAGTGGGGATTTCTTCAAACCCCCCTTTGGAGGCAGTGGTACCCATGATCCTGACCTCCACCAAATACCAAAGTCCAGACAACCAAAACTAAACTGCCTTTTACCCACCGCGCAGGGCGTCCCTCTCTGCCTTACGTGGAAAGGGGCCAAAAAGAATGCCTTTTTAAAGACATTAAATCGGGGTCTCCCCGAGGTCCCGCGTTGGTCCTTCAGGCAAACTCCCCCGATGCCAGCGTGAAGGTCCCAGGGACTCCCCGGATCCATGGGAAACACGGCTGAGTGTCCCTGTTCAGGCGCCAAATTGTTACCCTAAAAGTCGGTCAGAGAAACTCTCTAAGGCTCAATTTGGACTTTCAGAAAGCAGCATTCTTTATTGCAGCGCTGGGCGCACACACGAATCCTTTCACAAGGGTGAGCACACCTGGTACTTGCCGACAGCAACTCTATATTTAACATACTCATGCATATTCACAGCTTTTCCAACAACTGGTTCTAATATTTGCATCCTAATTACGCATGCGCTTTCTTGCTGAGTGGGGTCTTTGGTGGGCACCGATAGTCTTCCTCACTGTGTTTACTGAATGACCTCAGTGCTTGCTCAAGCTCGCAAGGTCCTAGTGCCCAGTTAGCAGTTGCTATGTCCTTGCTTCTGTTCTGTTCCAGTCTCGCCCCACGCTGGGCACCGCTCTGCTGTCTTGAAGGCTGGCATCCGTGGTCTTATTTACTGTCTCCTTAGGTGTTACCAGTCCCATGATGTTCCTTCCCCCATCAGCCAAACCTTCCTTTCTCTCTACATGTTAGTAAGGTAGAACAATTTGGCCTATTCTCCTATGGTAAAGGCACACACACTGTTGTTAGTGTAAGATTTAAGGTTACAACGCAGTGACCACAGGGACACGCTGGGGACATGGTGACCGTAGGGACATGGTGGGTCACATGGAGACCATGGGGACACAGACATCACAGTGACCATGACGACATGGGGACCACAGGGGTGGCTGATTCTGGAACACCCCATGTTAAGGGTGAAGGCCACAGAATCCCTGCATCAGCCCTGCATGATGGCTCCAGGGTTTGTGGGGAGCTTCCAACCTCTGTCTGGGAGTCCCTGTTCCAGAGGCACCCACAGTTCCTCTGGTTGCTGCAGCCCTGGCTTGTCTTGGGAACTGGAGCAGTTACTTGGTGTGAAGGGTTTCAAGGCTGCCTGGGCAGGCAGTGGGACTGGTGCTGGCCTCAGGGCTGAGCTCCCATCCCCTGGTCAGGCAGCAGGGCTGGTGCTGGCCTCAGGGCTGAGCTCCCATCCCCTGGTCAGGCAGCAGGGCTGGTGCTGGCCTCAGGGCTGAGCTCCCATCCCCTGGTCAGGCAGCAGGGCTGGTGCTGGCCTCAGGGCTGAGCTCCCATCCCCTGGTCAGGCAGCAGGGCTGGTGCTGGCCTCAGGGCTGAGCTCCCATCCCCTGGTCAGGCAGCAGGAATGGTGCTGGCCTCAGGGCTCAGCTCCCATCCCCTGGTCAGGCAGCAGGGCTGGTGCTGGCCTCGGGGTTGAGCTCCCAGCCCCCTGGGTGGTGTTTTGGCTGGGACAGAATTAATTCTCTACCCTGTAGCTGGTGCAGTGCTGTGTTCTGGCTTTATTGTGGCAATTAACACTGGTAACACACTGATGGTTCAGTTGTTGCTCAGCAGCACTTACCCTGATCAAGGACTTTTCAGTCTCTCATGCTCTGCAGTGAGGAGGCGCACAAGAAGCTGGGAGGAAGCAGACAGGACACCTGACCCAGACTAGCCAAAGGGGTATTCCATCCCACAGCACGTCATGTCCAGTATAGAAACTACAGGGAGTCACCCGGAAGGGATTGGATTGGGTCAGGCTGGGTATCCCTCAGTGGGTGCTGAGCAATTACATTGGGCGTCACTGCTGGTTAGCATTTTCCTTTCCCCTGTTTAGTTTTATGCCCTGTCCCTTTTAAACCACAACAGTTGTACAGGAGCAAAGTTTGCTGTACAGCTCTTAATAGTGATTTTAGTGATGGAAGATTTTACCTTTTCTGTTGTTGCTCCAGGTTAGGTTTTTCACTTATTTTCATGACTTTGTTCTTGTTTTTTTCAAGAGCTCTGGCTGGTGGGTGAGTTATTTCTCTCTTCATAATTCCTGCAGGTTTCCAACCCGTGCCTTGCTCCTTCAGCTGCTGATTGCCAGGTTTTCCACGTGGGTCCTTCCCTCCGTGTGTGTCCTGTGCCTGTCCCGGGTCCGTAGCGTTCTGTCAGCAGCCTGGCGGAGGTGCGGAGCGGTTCCTGCTCCCCAGCTCCCTGTGGCCGTAGTTGTGGTCGCTGCCGTTTCCCTGCCATGGACAGATTCTCAACCTGCAGCTGAGGGTTGTTTTCCACAGGGCGGTCTTGTCTGGAGCTGGGGCACGGGGAGCTGGCCCAGCCGGTCTGCGCTGTCGGGTCGGGCCGTGGGACCGCATGTTGAGTCGGTGGGATTTGTGCTCACAGTTAATAGTGCACAGTGTAGGGAACACAGGAATCTGGTTTGTTTTTCATGCGGATTGAAATAAAAGGAAGCACTTGATGGGATGGAGCCATCCCTGTATTGTGGGGTTGCGGGATGAAGAATGCTGCGAGCGTGCAGGGGAGCACAATGTGGCTGGCTGCAGGGCCTGGAGGTTTTTCTCCCACTGAGACTGAGTCTGCGGCTCTGGCAGCAGAGAGCAGAGGCTGGTCCCGCCACAGCGACTCCCGGAGCACCCCTGGGTGCCCAGTGGCCATGGGCACGATGCTGCCGCCATCCCAAAGCCGTGGCGGTCGCTGTGGATTTGCCCATTGTGACGGGGCCCCCACGGTGAGCGTGGGCTCTTTAAGGAGGGAGAGCCCTGCAGTAACCGGTGCAGAGGAGAGCCCTCCCCTCCCTCGGGAGGCTGCATCTCCCGGGGCTGCCCTGCGCATCCAGGTCCGTGTTCTTTGACTTTGCAATCCTGTTTTAGTGTTGGCCTCAAACACATTGTGGGCGCGTGCGTGGGTTTTGGAGGGTTCCCTGTAGAAAGGGCTTCATGTAACCAAAAACGGGGGTGGGGTGGGCGGGGAAGGTGCGGGGGGGTCATTAAGTGCCTGTTGATGAACTGCCTGTGGGGAAGGGGGAGGATGGACCTCACCTCCCCCCCAGCACCCCAAAACGGGGGGGGTGGATGTGGGGGAGGGTGCCCAATGGACACAACCTCCCATCCCCCACCCGGGGGTGTCGGGGGGTGGCACCTCCCCCCCTCTTTATACCCGGGATGGGAGAGGGGAGGATAAAGGGGGGATGGGGGGGGTGCCTATCCGAAGCCTTAGTGACACCGATGTAAAGGGGGGGGGGGGTGTCACCTTAAGAATGTATGAAAAGGAAACTTAACCAATAAATAAAGATTTCACAGGAAATCGAGGCCCCCTCTCCCCCCCCCCGTGTTTCGGCCTTTCCCCATCCCCGTTCCGCGATGCTCTCCGCACTTCCGGGTTGGATGCATCCGTTGCCTAGCAACGGGGTCTCCACGTACCGCTTCCCACGCATTACACACACACCCCCCCCACCCGGCCTCGTTCTGGCGAGCGTTGCCCAGGCAACAGCCAATCAGCTCTGAGCTCCCCAACTCGTGTCCCCGTTTATCCCCTCCCGGCTGCCCCCCATGGGGCTGAATATGGGGCCTTTCCTCGCCCCTCCCCCCCACCCCCCGTTTTTTTCCCCTCTTCCCCTCCCCCACCGCATCCCCATTTTCTCCCCTCCCCCCCTTATGCCCCCCATTCCCCCTCCCCCTTTTTCCCACCCCCATTCCCCACATTCCTGCCATTTCTCCCCCTCTCCCTCCATCCCTCCCCATTTCTCATCCCACCATCATTATCCCCCCCCTTAATTACCTGCAATTAGCGTAGGACCTGCTTCATCCACACGCACCTCATGTAGGGCTGACCTTATTTACACGTTACTTCCTTATTTACATGTTATTAATGTAGGGCCTACTTAATTTGTGTCCTTTTAGTCCAGCATGCTCAGCGCTTCCAGCAGCCCCCGCCCTTCTCCCTAGGGTCTGAAAGGGGCGTGGCCAAAGGGGTGAGGACACGCCCCCCCCGCCCCTCCCTCGATCTCCCCGTCTTTGCTCACCTGGGCCTGCAGGGGGCGCAGCTGCGCCTGGAGCTTCCCATTGGATGCGCCCAGAGCCCGGAGCTGGATCCAGCGACGGGACTGGAAGGGGTGGAGGGGGGGACACAAGGAAATGAGGGACCCCAAAGCCATGGGAGGGACCCAAATACCCCCCAAGACCCCCAAACACCTTAAATATCGCCCCATATTTCCCCACAAGCCTCTCCCTTAACCCCAAACCCATCCATAACCCCCAGATCCCCCTCCCAGCACCCCCAAAATTCCCCCTAAAGCACCAAACTCCCCCATGTCAGCCCCTATAGACCCAAAATCCCCCTCCAGGACCCCCACATATCCCTCATCCCTCCCAAAAAGCGGTGCTGGGACCCTTCAGGGACCCCAACTCCTCCCCATAACCATCAAATTCCACTTCCCAGACCCCCCCCAAGCCCATCAGGACCCCCCCAAATCCCCATATTCCCCCGTTGGCACCCACCAGCCGCTGCTTCCCCTCCTGCAGCTGCCTCCTCAGTGGCCCCAGGGCAGTTTCTGGGGAGTCCATGGGGCTGCCCCGTAGCTCTGGGCCCTGCTGGATCTGGGCCCCCCGAGCCCCTGAGAGCCCCATGGCCTCCAGCATCAACCTGGTGGCAAGGGGGGCACCAAAGCCAAACGTTGAGGGGAGTTTGGGGGGCCCAAAGGGGTCCAGATCCCATTTTGGGGACCCCAAAAGGGCTGCAGGGACCATGGAGGTTGGGGGGGGGGGGCACCCCGAAAGGTCTCAGCACTGGGTTTAGGGAGGGGGGCTTTAAGGACCCCTATGAGCCCAGCACCCACTTCAGAAGGAAACTTCAGAATTCCTATAGGAACACCACCCCCCCACCCCCCCCCGCCATGTATTTTAGGGACCGATCCGAGGTTTGGGGTCCCTCCAGATGTTGCAGTTCCCCCCAGATGTTGGGGTGCCCCCCTCACCGCGGTGCCGCACGTGGCCCATGATGTACTCCCGGATGGGGGCACAGGGCCCCGTGCACAGCCTGGAGGTGGGGGGAGACAAAGAGAGGGGGTCAGGAGCACCCCAACCCCCCCAGGACCCCAAAAGCCCCCACTGGGGGGTCCCGCGGGCTCCAACCTGCGCAGGTCGGGATCGGAGGGGAGCTCCAGCTCCGCCATGATGGGCGAAATTGGCGCGCTGGGAGCGCCGCGCGGCACGACGGGAGGTGTAGTCCAAGCCGGGCGGTGCCTTAATGGTGCTGTATGGGTGTCGCACTGCATCATGGGAGTTGTAGTCCAGGCTGGGCGACTCTAGGACAGGGCTCTCTGGGTGCCGCGTGGCATGATGGGAGTTGTAGTCCATCGGGGAGGGCAACTGGGCCAATGTCGGGGTAATGGAGGCAATGGGGGTAATGGGGGCATGGGGGGCAATGGGGGGTAAGTGGAGGGGCAGTGGGGATCCTGGGGTGTCCATTGGGCGATCTGCGGCCCTTTGGGGGATCAAACTTCACAACTCCATTTCCTATCCCCCATTTCCTCCCTTTTTCCTTCTCATTTCCCCCATTCCCTCTGCATTTCCCCCATTTCTCCCCCATTTCCTGCTATTTCCTCCCCATTCCTGCTATTTCTTCCCATTTCCCTCCCATTTCCCACCATTTCCTCCATATTTCCTTCCATTCCCCCATTTCTCCTCCTTTTCCCACCATTTCCCCCCTTTTCCCACCATTTCCCCCATTTCCTCCCAAATTCCCGTCCTTTTTCCCTCATTTCCCCTCCATTTCATCTCCATTTCCCTCCCATTTACTCCCAATTTCCCCCACCCCTATTTCCCCCATTTCCCTCCCATTTCTCATTTCCCACCATTTCCCCCCTTTTCCCATTTCCCCTCCTTTTCCCCCCATTTTCCATTCCCATTTCCCTCCATTTCCCACCTATTTCTCCCCCCCCCCGGCTATTCCCATGAAGCCGCCACCGCTCCCCTCCCCCCCCCGCGCCGCCCGCGGCGGGAACTGGACGGGACCAAACTGGGGCGGGCGCGGGGCCTCCTGCCCCACCCCCGCGGGCTCTTCGCCCGCGAGGTCACCTCGGGTCACATGGGGCGGGGCTCCATAGGGAGGACCCTGACCCCGCCCCATAACTTGGGGAGCTCCACAGGTGGGGAGCCCCCTAACTTGGGGGAGGGCACAAAGGGGGACCCTCAGACCCCGCCCCATCGCTTGGGGGGCACAAAGGGGGCGCCTCATAACTTGGGGGGGGCACAAAGGGGGAACCCCAGACCCCGCCCCATACCTTGGGGGGCACAAAGGGGGGCTCCATAGGGGGGAACCAGGCCCTGCTCCATAACTTGGGGGAGGACAAAGGGGGCACCCCATAACTCGGGGGGCTTCATAGGGGACTTCCAGAGCCTGCCCCATACCTTGGGGGGCACAAAGGGGGTGCCCCATAACTTGGGGGGGGCACAAAGGGGGACCCCCAGACCCCGCCCCATACCTTGGGGGGCACAAAGGGGGGCTCCATAGGGGGGAACCAGGCCCTGCTCCATAACTTGGGGGAGGACAAAGGGGGCACCCCATAACTCGGGGGGCTTCATAGGGGACTTCCAGAGCCTGCCCCATACCTTGGGGGGCACAAAGGGGGTGCCCCATAACTTGGGGGTCCCAGTGCCCACCCCCCAACACCCCATAGCGCGGGTCCTGGCCTCCCGCTTGGGGGCGCTGTTGCACCGGGCCCCGGTGCTGCTACGGGAGCGGCGCCGCTCGGTGCTGGGGGCGCTGCTCCGTGGGGGGGGGGGGGGGGAGGCACCGGGGCTTCCCCCCCCGGCTCTCGCGGCTGCTCCGGGGGCACCGGGACCCGAACCCGGGAGCTCGGGACCCGAACCAGAGGTCCCTGGAGCCTCAATGGGAGCCGCAACCGGATGCGCGGCGGGACCGGGGCATCCCCAGCCCCATCTTTGGATCCAGTGCGGAGCAGTGGGAAGGGAGTCGGGAATGGGGGTAATGGGGGGCAATGGGGGGCAATGGCATAATGGGGGGTAATGGGGTAACAGGGGCAATGGGAGTAATTGGGGGTAATGGGCAATGGGGGTAAAGGGGGGTAATGGGGGGCAATAAGGTCAATGGAGAAAATGGGGGGCAATGGTGGGCAATGGTGTCTCTCCCCCCCACCCCAGAGCCCCCACTTCTGGAGCCTGGTTCCGCTCTTCCAGCCCCATGGAATTTCGTGTCTGTGTCAGCGCTCCCCCTCGCAACTGGATCCGGACGTGGATCCATGTCCATGTGTGGAGCATCCGGATCCCATAGGATCTGCTCCCAAGCACCAGGAGCTGCGATACCAATGGGATCCAGTGCTCCCAGATGATCCAGGGCTCTGGAATGAGGGGGAGCTGCAGCACAAGCTGGTGCTTTGGGATGATTCCATGCTCCCAGAGAGCCTGGTGCGGCTCTGGCACGATCCAGTGTTCCGGGATGATCTAGGGATCCGGGATGATCCAATGCTCCGGAATGATTTAGGGATCCAGAATGATCCAGGGTTCCGGGATGATTCAAGGATCCAGAATGATCCAAGGTTCCAGAATGACCCAGGGATCCAGGATGATGCAGGGATGCGGAATGATCCAGAGCTCTGGAATGATCCAGAGCTCTGGAATGATCCATGGCTCCAGAATGATCCAGGAATCCAGGATGATCCAGTTTGGCTCCATCGTGATGCGATGCTCCGGAATGATCCAATATCCCGGCATGATCCGGTTCTGCTCCATCAGGATCCGTTTGTGTTCCAACAGCATCCAGTGTTCTGTCAGTATCCACAGCTCCGGAATGACCCAATTCGGTCCCTTCCCAATCCCA